ATACACGGGTTAGTTGTTATCACCCTTTAGAAGAAGAAGAAGAAGAAGAAGAAGAAGAAGTGAAAAAACAGGATCGCGTTACAGCGAAAAAATACGAGTCTCGTTGTTGCGATTTATTTGCAACGACACTCTCGTAACTCCGCATTTCTCTTCTTTTTTCTTTTTTTTTTTTTTATCGAGAAGCTAAGAATACTTGGCGGGCAAAAGCTTTGTTGTTTGATTTGTGGCTCGCTTTGGGCGGTGATAACGCGTTATCGAGTTGTTCAGCGTGATTGTTATTGCAGAAGAAGAAAAAAGAAGGGAGAGTGAAAAATAACATCCCCTTCGATTAGGGAAATTTCGATGATTTTTCACGAACACGTAAATATACGTAGATGCAATGCATGATAAAATTCTAAAATATGAAGAATATATCTGAAAGATTATTTTTTCTTCAAAACGAATATTCCAAATGAATAATTAAAATTGAATCACGATGAAAATATTTATAATTTTCAATTTGAAAAACCTACAGAGAGCTTCGTTCTTTACCTCTTGCGCAACATCCAATTTTCTAGAAACCGTCAAAGAAAGCAAAAATTCGTTCCAACTCGATTCCAAAGTTTCAAAAGTGTCCAAAACACTCTTCTCTTCGGGATTCCACATTTCTCTAAAACGTGGCAAGAAAAATGATGGAAAAAATCTATCTCGAAACTCTCCTCCTCCTGAGAAGAGCGTAATAACACTACTTGTTTCCCGGAACAGTAGTAGGTCCGAATTCCGCGTTCGAAAGGGGATCGAGCGTGTCGAGGAGGATGACGCATCATCGAACACCGTAATCGCGCTGCGATCGCCCACGTCGGTCTGATCCGCCCACGCGCCAGCGGAACCCACGTGTTTATGCAAAAATCGAATTTCCCGACGGCGGGTGAAAAGGCGCCCATGGACAAATCGGGTGCTGTCCCCTTCGAAGCGACGTTGCCCGTTCTCTTTTGCAACGCCGAGATTACCATAACCACCGCTCGATCAATGGCGTCACCACGTTTACCGATGATGTTTGCCGCCCATTTCCCAATCGTGTCCGCGTTCCATCCGATTTTTCACCATCGTCGCTCCCTCTCTCTCTCTCTCTATCCTAGGTTTTCTCAGGAAAATGTCTCAGAAACGATGACGCTCTCAGGCTCGTGGGCAGATTGCGCGCACAATGATGACGACGATGATGATATGTTATACGTTAAATATTCCGTCTGTCCAAGGGAATTGGAAAGGATAAAGGTGTGCGCGACGATTATCGTGTTTGGTAAACGAGAGCTATTTACCTGTCGATACGCTTAGCTTCGTTTATTTATTTTCGTTTCTCGTTCTGAGAAATCGAACAAGCGTAGTAGAGCTATTTATTTTGATTATTTATTTACATATAGTGTTATGTAGTTACATATGTACATCGATATGTATCCCATCGGAAGATATTTATTCGAAAATGTGGCGAATGAGATTATTCGAGTTTGTTATTTAATAAGGAAATGAATAATATCGTATAATAAACGAAATATTTATTTCAATCGAAGAATCGTTAACACGATTCTCAAAATCGAATAATCATTGCTCCAAAATCGATACTATACCCGCTACTTTTAATCTATCCCATCCGTTATTTCTCTTCCCCAAAATATAATAATTCATAAAAATTTATTACTATTACTCCAAGCCCGGCGGAATATTCAAACGGGAATTTTTGCGGCCGATTTCTCTCCGTGTATCCCATTGTTCCCGGCAACTCGTTAACACGCTCGCCTTGCGGATCCAGTTCACGGGCTGTGAACGTAAATCCCGGTCAGCTGTGTTATTGGGTCATTATTCCGGGTAAACCGTGGGGAAGCACGCGCGAAAAAAAAACGAGGAAGAAGAAAAACGGGGGAGAAGGTGGTATGGTTGTGGACGGACCCTTCGGACGGGGGTTGGAAAACGGGGTGTGGAGGAGCAGCGCGCTCGCGCGAATTCACGCGCGACCGGATCAATTTTGCTAAATCGATTGGAAAAAGAACGGAGAAAATTCTGTAAAAAAACTTCTCTCTTCCCCCTTTCCTTTTCGTTTTAATTACAATCTCCATCTATTAATCTTGTAGCTGTGTCGTGTTTTTGGAAATGTAATTTCATAAAATCTTCCAGAAAATATTTAAAAAATTGATAATTCTATGCATCGAAGGAAAAAGAAGAAAGGGAATAGGAAGTGAGGATTGTGAATCGAAGAAGATGATATCTTATAGCATTATTCTGCATCGTTCGTGAGAAGAATTCGATGTTTTTATTCTTCGATCAATTTATCTTTAAAATTATGCTTATGGATCTAACATTACTTTTTCCTCTAATAAGTAATTCTAACTACAAATCGAGAAAAATAATATTAAACGTGATATTAATGTTTCATCATACACAATGAATATTGTTATTAAAATTTGTTGACAATAATTTAATTTCATGTATGGAGGAAAAAGTAATTAATCAACTGTTAGACAATTTCAAGATGGAACACGTTAAAAAAAAAAATAACGAATAAACATTGCGTCCAGGCCCTTTTCTAGTAGGTGTCGGTTCATTGTGGCGGAAAACCGGACAGGGAAAGCGAAAGGGAAAGGGTGCGCTCTTGCTAAGGGTGGCGCGGGTCCGGTGGTAAGAAGTGAAAGGGAAACGACGTGGCCAGGGACATGTGGACATCTGATTGTTTTCACTTTTCGAGAAGCAAGGGTGGCCGAACTGGGGCAAACGGGTATCGATCCGGAACGAGCACGGATCCTCTCGTTCAACCCGTGGAAAAATAACGGTGCACACTCGAAGGATTTCGCGGAGCGGAGAGTGGAATTTATTTATTTATCGGAGGAAAATTTCTCCCAGCTGCAGAGATGTATCGAGAGTGTTTTGGAAATATTGAGTCGAAATGTATAAATTTTATAAAATCTTCCAGAAAATATTTAAAAAATTGGTAATTCTAAAGGAAAAAGAAGAAAGGGAATAGTGAGGATTG